TTCTTCTTCTTCTTCTTTTTCTTCTTCTTCTTCTTCAACTTCTTTCTTATTCTTCTTTTTCTTCTTTTTCTTTTCTTCCTTCTTGGCCGGAACTGCTTTGTCGGGACCTCGATCCCGGGGTCAGCGATCTGGATTGCGACCTCTTTCGGTCCTTTTCTTTGCCTCTCCCTTTACTTGCTTGCATGGACAAGAGGCACCGCGCTTGCACTCTCCGGTCTTCTAGAATCCATAGCAAACACCTTTCTTCTCAGGCTTCTTGCAGGGAACGCCGGATCTTTTGCTCCTAACAAGCGATTTGTAGCATCGCGCGTCTTCTCAAGAAGCTTTGTTAGGCGCAAGCAGCAGTGGTGAGGAATTCATACGACCTGTCTCAGGAGCCCTCGGCAGCACAATCATACAAGGCAAGATCGCGTCTCATGAGAGGGTTGAATCTTTTGGCAAGTAGGCTTCCAGGACGTTGTCCTCTGGCTCCTTCTTCATGCGGCCAGGACTGAGTCCCACTTGTGGGTGAAGCCTTTGAGGTCCTCATTGACCATCTTGACAGACTCAATGCTGGTAGCCAAACCAACCTTTCATGGGTTTATTCTCGCAAGCCCAAGGGTGTTTGAAAGTTGCGATTTGACGACCAAGGTCCCCCCTCAGCGCAGTTGGCGGGACTGCCCAACAACTTCGCATCGAGGGCGGCAAATCCCTCGGAACGATGCAGCACGTCGACCGTCTGGTCGTCGACATAGACATTTCCAACAGCCTCAGCTATCTTTTCTGATTCAGCAAAGATATTGTCCCTCTGACCCTGATTTTCCAACCCCCTGTACTTCTCAAGTGTCAAATGAGAACTTTGTCGTTTCCCATTTTTCTTTCTTTCTCTGCTTTTTCAGCTCCTTCCGGGTGATGCAGGCCAGGCGGCCAGGTGACGAGTTTGAATCATCAGAGTCATCACCTGGAGAGGCATCACCTCAAAAGGAGCGGTCAGAAGGAGGAGTCGCCCATCCATTCCTGTTCCTTCTCCTTCTTCTCCCCCTTGTCTTTGCGAGACTTTCGGTCATCACAATCACGGTCATCAGCTCATCAGCGGGTTCGAGGGAGGAGGGTCTCCATTCTAGTCATGAGCAGGTGGGGCCGCTGGTGAGGTGTTGGCGTGTAGCGGCTGCACTCAAAGCACAGGCACTCGGCCGAGGCGGCGTCGAACCAATTCCTTGATGATTCGACTTTGCTCTGCGAGCTCTGACCGGAGAGCAACCTCTCTTAGCTTTGCAAGCGCTCCCTCATTCTCAACAGCAGCATGTCTCTCAAGCGCTAAAGCGTTGAGATAGTCGTGGCGATCTTGGGACTGCCTTGCTTGGTGAGCGTTGCTCATGTCTTGGAGTTCTGTCGAGCGCAGGCTCCTTGGTGTTTAGAGGACTCCTCAACGAATGCTCTGGCTTCATTAGCCGCAACATTCTTAAAAATGCTTGGCCTCCCCAACAAATTGTTGATTCTGCTTTGCTAGAATTGCACGACGCTTCAACTCAGCAATCTCCACTACTTCGGCCGATCGGTCTTGCTGAACAAGCACAGCATTCTGGTGAACCGTTCGAGCATCAATCTGTTGGACGTTGTAAATCGAAACAAACTGCGCTTCTTCAACAATATCAGAGACAAAAGCACTAGTCCTAGGCAACAGGTTCCCCTGCGCGAGCATCGGTGGAACCGGTGGACGGGCTAGTTCCAAAGGCAACGAGGATACATCATCTTCGATCTCCTGAGTCAACATGACCGGATATGTTGGCAGGCCGAGCGAGAGCGTTCGTCTCTTGAACTCGCTCTCTCATTAGTACTCTATGGTGGGGTAGAGCGAAAGCTAGAACAAGCACGTACCGCGCATTGGCAATCCGGCTGAAAACCTGTAGAACAGGTGAGTGACCGACAACTACCACGTTTGCGCACCTGTTTTGTTCTTGAGCCAAAGTGTCAGGCAGTATCTTAATACAAGAGTGTGAGCGTGAAACAACACTCAAATCCGAATTCATCTTCACTCCGACGATCGTGTCTGACCCGCTTTGCACGTTTCCCTTGAAAATGCTCTTCCCAATGTGCCTGGCTGACCGACTGGCGAAGATCACCCAAGTCTTCACGACTTGTCACAAGAAATCCAGACCACCAATGGGACTGACCATGCCCAGGCACGACCAATGGGACTGGCATAATCAGCCACTATTGAGCTGGGGTGGTTGACCAAAGCTCAATCCCATGGAGTGTCTGCGATGGAGTCATACTGCAGAAAGAAACAGGATGACTGCTTAGACTGTTGCGCTTCAAATTGAAAAGGGGATGCACCTGCCCATGCACCAGCGACACACGAGCCCACACAAGCATGCTTGAAGATCACCCGGTTTCCCCACCTAGTAGCTTGAGCGATGGTCTTCCCGAAAAGCTGGTGGAAAGACTACAGTATCTGAAGTCCGTCTCCCTCCTCCTGAACTTTCCCCGTCGCGATGCATCCGGTCAATGACCTTCATGGCTGCAATCTCGAGAGCCTCACCAGTTTTGCCAGCCACCTGCAGTGGAAAAGGAGCAACAAGCCCATCAGCCGCTAGGCTTTCAACCACCATTTACCAGTGTCTTACACTACAACACCAGGTCAACCATTTTTGGAATGGTCTTGGAAGGCTTTAGGATCAGCTCTTGTTTTGCAGGAAAGCTCTGCGTCACCGAATCACCGGCCATGGCGAGTTGAACACATCGGTGCGCCCTGCGGGCGCTAGGTCGGCGAGCCACATCCATCTGATGTATCTGAAGCAACACTAATGTAGATTCTTGGTTGTCAATAACCCCGGGTGTTGAAATGCAAAATATGAAGAGTCTACAGGCTCCGTACAGGATCCATACAGGCTCCGTCTCGTACCTGCGCAAGTTCGAGACCTGAACTGACGCCAGTTGATGAATCTGATTCACAAATGTTGCAACACATGAAAACCAACAGATTGCTACTACACTTGCTACCCCTGCCAGGCCCTTCTGGCATCGTGACCGGGCATCGCGGTAGCAAGTGTGTCCGCCACTGAGGGGCAGTGAGCACTCAAATTAGACATTTTGGATGACAAGGCTAATAACCTTAGATTGTCCCACAGAACATCCCGACAGTTCTCCTCCCACACGGCCAATTTAGAATTGGAAGAGGGGATGACCATTGACAACCTGAAAGAACTGTGTTGCAAGGAGATTGATTTGTCTCTCGCACTCGAACAACCTCGAATCTCAAAGACTTGCCAAGCTGAATGGTTCCCGAACATGAGCAAATGGCAAAAGGGCTCGCCACTCGCCGTTCAGTGTCTGCCATGTCCTCTTGTTTCCTGTCGAGAAAACGTGCGCCCCTGTCCCGATGGCCGCAGCCGAAGGGCGATGCACATGCGGTCCGTAGTCCCAGGAAAAAGGACCTGGAGTGTGGAGTGACGAGTTCGTAGTTTGCAGCCTGCACCAGCTCCGAAAAAATTATAAACAATGAAATAGAATAACGGTGCGAAGCTGTGACCAGCTGCAGCACCTCTCCTTGGGGGACCAGTTGAATGAAACGTCTCAATCAATCTAGTCACTGACCATTTTATATCATCATGTGTCTTTTCGATAGGGTTGCGTCAAATGCCCTACTCAACCCCCAGAACATGTTTAAAGTTAATCTGTGGGCGGAGATAAAATACTGGAAAGAATATGAACGTCATCCAGTATTGAAATAAATTCTCAAGGCAAATGCTGATACCCCGCAACAAAACTCAATGGGTAGTTGCACTGGACAGGAGTTGACTGTCCAATATTTCCACCACGTAATGGGGTGTGGGGGATGACTGGGCTGGGCGGGTGATATCCAAGAAATGGTTGACCTCAGATCAAGGGGTTCAAAATATGTGACGCATGGAAACCAGATCTACGATCTCCAATCTGTAGTAGGTTGGGGGGGGTGGAGGAAGTCTATCGGGGTGATTCCGTTGCTCCCTAGATTAAAGTGACGAAACTCGACCTTTATGTTCCAAATCATTGATGTATTTGTTCAGTGAAAACTGCTCCAGCAAAAGTTGACCCCCCGCCCTCCTTCAAACACTCTTCCAAACAAAAATTCAAGCGCCGCCTTACAAATCTAAGGGCCCACCGCGACGAAACCAAACTTTCAATGGATGGCTGGTCCGCGTACGTCGCGTATTGCCATGCCTTTGCATGCGTTGGCAAAAATTCAAAAGTGGCCCCGCTTACTTACGGCAATCAGGTCATAGCATTCACTGTGACCCCCAAAGCTTGGTTATCTATAAAAGGGGCGCCGCCCATGGCCCCCTAAAGTCAGGGTGGTGATGCGAAAGGCTGAAGGATGGAAGCTCAAGCATTCGGATTGGAGGCCACTAGTACGCACATCTTCCATGGTCCCAGCAACATTTTCCCCTAAACGATGTTTTACCACAGCACCAGCGTTCCTGGTGTTGGTTCTTTCTACATAACTACTCTAGCGATTCTAGCTCCGAGAAACTGATACCAGGAGTGCGCCCCAATACTATGGTGATTTGTGACCTGAGCCGTTCCTGGCTTGGGCGCAATGGGCTCGATGCGAAACATGGCACTCCACTTGCATTGTTTCCATGTATTGCTGCTCCCCCATTCTCTTTTCCATTTTTTTTGGTACCATTCTTGAATTGACTTGCCTTGGCCCCGCGTGCGGCCCCGACAGTTGCGGTCTTTACCGTATAATGACCTCACCTTGTGGCGCACTATGTGGCCCAGCTTTCTCGCGCTATTACAGGAGTGGCCCTGCTGACCCCGGTTGGGACTTACAAAGTTATTGACTGGTGGCAATCCATTGCATGAGGGAAAAAACGTGTATTTGATGAAGGGCGGAGGTATTGTTGACTTCACCCTCGCACCTGCACTGTTCTATACTGTTCTAGCGTTGCATCAGGTGTTGCTTCCAAACCGTGCCCGTGAAGCAGCTCTATGCAATGTCTTGGTGTGGGCTTGCTCTATTGCGGTTGCTGGGCTGATGCTATACCAAGTAAGTGATTCTGCGGCGCCAAAAAGCCCCGCCCCAAAACCTTGAGAAGAGAAGCTTCCGTGTGGAGGGCCCTCGAAGTATCACGCAAGTGCGCGCGGTGAGACAGGGCTGGTAATGTGCAACTTCTGTTTGTCCCAGCAGGTGTTGCAAAGTTCTATCAGCGCTCGGTGAAAAATGAGTTCTTCAGTCGGCCATTTGGCCCCAAAACTGGGACCATTTTCTGGCCACCAAAGCGGGGCCGTCACTTCTCCCGAAAGCTACCGCCCTGCCAGATTCTGGGCGCCTTTTTTGGGATCATGAAGTTGCACAAGTGCAACTGCAAAATTTAACCTATCCGGATAAAATGAGTCTTTGGAGATTTGTAGGCTGCATCGGGCAACTCGGCAGCAACATGTTTGAATTGGACACACAGGTTCTTATAAGCCTATGCATCCTTTCAACCCACCTTCGGGCCCGAGATCCGCAACTTGCAGTCCGATGCCACTTCGATCTCCCCCATCGAACTTCCATCTCTGCCTGAGGCGGCTGACCACCGGAGTCAGTCATTTCGCCGCATTGTCCGGATCACGTTTCCACATGCGCCGCAAGCAGGAAGGCAGGCACTGGTGTCAATGCGAAGTGCTGTGAAGTGATACTGAGCTCCCAGGAGTTCAACCACATCTTAAGAGCGATGGCCTCCACCCTAGAAGCGATGGCCTCCAACCTAATAGCAATGGCCTTCATCCTATTAAGGTTCCATTGCTATTCGTCTTAAACTGGACTATGACTATGCCAGCTATTCATCTTTCTTTCAATGTTCAAGGGGAAGACTGGGAGAGTCCAGGTGCCTCAATGTCTTCCAAATGTTCCCGATGCCCAAATGTGCAACACGCAATGGTGGTTTCGATTCTCACCAGGCGGCCAATCAATGCACCAGCCAAGCTGTTCGGCACAAGGAATTTGAAGTAGCAAGGACCACCCATCCTTAGAGAGTCAAGGAATTTGACCCGGACTGCGGCCGCAAGGACCTGGAAACCGCACCGAAAAGTCGTGGCAAGGCAACACCTGCCACGAGTGCTTGATGTTTTGCTCTGACTGGCAGCGAGTTGTTTTCAGACCTGGTGGCCTGCTTGAACAAACTTCTCTCTCTCACTGACCAAGTGAATCTCATCAAACTGACAGGAGGCCACCAGTTCACCGGCGAAAATCGCACCGAAAAGGTGTCCTCCCCCTCCCTTTTGAAGCCACCAGAGCCCCCGGTTTCGAAGCCCGCTCCGGTTTCGATTTCCGCCCCCAAGGTCGGTCAACCGTCTGGGGCATCGCTGCCAACGGAGCGGTCACTCTGAGACTTCTTAGGGCCAAACCCCCTCAACTCAAGACCTGTTTCCAAAGTCCTGGTGTATCGTATACCCTAATTATCCCCCCCCTAAAGCTATGTTTTGGGGTCTGTTCAATCAATGCCAGGCCAAGTATTTATGTCCAGCACTTTTTACCGTGTGTTTAATGCCAATTCAAGGGTTTGAAACGGAACCGTTTGCCGCCCGATAATTTGGCAATATTGTCAAAACAGTGCAACGGCACGATTGAAGTAAAAACGACAATATATTGTTTCTCTTGTCCCAAATAAGTGCCCTCCATCGACAGCTTTCTTTGCGTGTGATCCTTCTGCGCAGTGTCCTAAATAGGTCCTAATACTGGAGGTATTTTTCCCCCCCCCCACCCCAGACTGACTGTGTCACTTGGTGAAATTTAAGGGGACGTACACATACTGTTACCTTCCTGATGCTTGGAACCGACATCTGCTGGCTTGAGCTGTCTGGTTTGCGCTGTATGTTTTTCTCTATCTGAGCACATTCTTCGGCACTCTCACTTTACCAGGTCTCCTCTTAGCCGAAACCATTTTTTCATACTCGCTTCAACGCCGCCCCCCGTCAGCAATGAGAGGTGGACACCAAGGCACAGCGGTTGTGAACCAGTGAGCAAATTCAAGCCATCCTGGCACCACTCAACGGCCAACTGCCGTGTGGGGCTGACTTCCTCGGTCTGGACACCGAAGAAGGATCACGGTGTTTCACCCTGACTTCATCTCAATTCGGCCGGGAAATCATCCAAATCAAGGTCATGGATTTGGCGGTCGGGCACAGTGTTCCTCTGTTTGGTTTCTCGTTGGCATGGTGATCCGCTTGGTGCGCCGCCCCGTTTCCTATGTTAAAGGACTATTCATGTTTTTCTAGGAACGCGCATCCCGCTAGAAATGCCGCCAATGCCTTTTTTGACTCAGAAAGCAACCAACATCACGCCCGCCACGAAGGCAAGTCATGGGCCAAACGATTCTGAGATGCCTCGTGCCTTTGGAGTTCAAATCGAAATTCGACTCCTGGTGAAGGGAATTTGTTTAAGGATGTCGAACAACCGCCCAGAAGGTCGGGGCTGGAGTGCCGCACAAGGTTCCCAAACAGTTCAAAAATTACAAAATGTACGTTGCCTTTGCTGCGTCGATTTGCACACTGATTCCCCGGATTGATCTCCAAGGCGCTTGATCCACCAAACTGGTAGAAGCAACTTCATGCGTTGTCTTCGTTGGTGAACTGTTGGCGGCGCCGGCTGCAATCTTGCCAGGGATGTGTGCCACCTTGCCAGGATAGTTTTCAACAAACGGTGGGATCCGGAGAAAGCACCTGGAAAGCCACCAAAAAAATAGTTGTGTTGTGAGAGGAACACATGGAAAGCAAATGGAACCTCTACCGAACACTGCTCCATAGCACCTGGGTCGCTGCTCCAAGGCGCCAAAACTGGAGACTTCTTGCTCGTTGCGTGACAAAGCATGTCTTTAACTGTAGTTCACAGTCTCCTATCGACCCGTATTCCCATTTACTGGAAGGTTCCATGTTTGCGCTCAAAATATTGTCGTGCTTGCTTTATTGACTACTTTCACAAATCCACAAGTATGTTTTAAAGATACTCACAGTAGCGCAGCAGCTGCGTGCACTGGATTGATCAACGTTCGGTCCCAGGGCAAAATCAATAAAGGAGAAGTGGATGGGTTGTGGTGGTGCTACGTTTACCAGTGGTGGCTTCGGAGCACGTACCCAGTGCTACGTACCTGTGCGTCGACAAAAGCTCTACGCGCACTGGGAAGCCTGTGCGGCTTAAAAGTGTGCTTCCGTTGCTGGCTTTACCCGTGAGTGTTGGGCATCAGCCTTTGATCGGTTTGACCGGAACAGTGATGGTGTCATTTCCGCAGACGGTGTGCAAGCACTTGAGAGTGAGACCACCAAGGAGAACTTGAAACGCAGGCTTCTATACACACATCTTCTTTCTTTTTGCTATGTGTCTTCCTAAAAAACATATGTATTTTTTTTAATGCGGCGTTTTTTCACAAACGTGTCACAGTCTATATTTTCTGCCACACTTCTCCATTCCCAGACACTCCATCTACGGAATAAATGCAGAGCATCTATTCCATACTATTCCATACACGGAGCGTTTAGGACACACCTCACGACACCAGAGTCGATCATTCCGATCACAAAGACCCAACATCCGCACCGAGCATTTCAGTAGTCGCCATCCGCGCAGGCTAATAAACGGTCGTCTGTTATCCCCTGCTCCCCTGGAATTGTTTCCACATGGGTCTACATGGGAAAGCAAACATGATCAGAGCTTGAAGCAACTATGTCACCATGTCTATAGCCGTGATCATTGTCGGAAGTGATGTCATCTCTGTGTTTCAGCGGCCAATCAGCTCCCGGTTGTCACTTCTTCTTCTTGTTGACCTGGCTTCGTTTCCCTTGTCTTCATGACACCGGTGGGTTCCACCGTTCCACCCCGCCACCGTTCCACCCCGCCCGTTCCGACAGGCACCGGCAGCTCCGACAGCGCGGTCTTGGGCTCCTCAACGCAAGCGAACGGCGCAGGCCGAAGGGGGGTCACAGTCCTTCCTGGTTCTGAGACCATTGCGGTCACAAAAATGTTGGAAATAAACACAATCGATTGGTAGCACAGACGCCCATCCTGCCCCGCCCTTGAAAAAAGAAAGTTTGCTTGAAGTACACATCACGGGTTGTCCCAGTTCATGTTGATGCCCAAAGAGCAAAGTCTGCAACCAACGCAAGGGCGTCTTTGGTGGGCAGGGCGTGCGACGGAGGCGGGTACTTCAAACACCTCTGAAAAAAGAAAAACGAACGGCAAGCTCTGGCATGTAGGCTATCGAGTGAATATTTTTCCTGCAGGCATTAGCACTGGCAATCTTAAGGCCAAGTCAAAGGCAGTTTCTGAACTGAGAAGCAGGACCTGCATCCAAGACCAAACAAGAAGTTGCTTGAAGACTACCCAGGGCAACGAAGCAAGGCAATAAGACTACCAGCGAGTGAAGCCAAACCATGAGTAAAAAGCAACAGGGACTGCCGTGCCGTGAGAAACCCGGCCCTCAAATCAGTCACGGACAGTGCATGATCACGGTGTTTGGTAATCCTCCACTCCCCGGGTTTGACTCCTTCTGGTGAAATGTTCGCTGATGGTTCATCAAACTCCTGCGGCTCGGGGCCAAACATGGCGGAGCGACTAATGATAGAGACTTGTCAAATAGTCTGGTCGAGCCTGACTGTGACCGCTGGGATTGTGTTCATTTTGACAACCGCCAAAATGGATCTTTCCAAGCTTGAAACTGACTCCTTCAGTTTCCCTGGAACATAAAGTTAGTTTAACCGAACTGTCCACCTCTTCATGTGTAGGGGGAAACTGACCACCAAAAAGGTTTAAGGGTATCCTTTGACTGGGTGGGGAAGAATGAACTTTCCAAAGATGCTCCACTAGACTGGCATACCGACTGCTTTGCAGTCCCAAATGGTCGTCTCCGATTTCTATTTTTATCAGATCCGGATATGAGATCCAAGATTCACATTTGACAGCCTCACACTCTGCGTCGCCCTTTTGGCTTCTAACGTTCAAAGCTACCCTGCGAGCTAGAATTGGAGCAAGTGGATTTGAACCCAAAAATCTCAAAGCTACAGGTCCAAGAGAACAAAAGAATCGTTTGAATCACTGGTTGCTGAGGCAAAGAGTCACCTTTACGTGATCCTGATGACCCGAGATGGCTCCACCTGGCCTCTTGAGTGGCCTTGAAGCGCAGGATGTCTGCTCCACCATTACAGGAAACGGATTCCGTGACGCTGGAAAGAATGATGGTCGACTGCAGGAATCTTAGTGACTTAGTGATGTTGACTGCAGGAATCCGTGCTGAATGACTTATATAGTAAGGACTAAAATAATTGCAACCTCTGAGGTCCTGGCAAACACTTGAGCCGCAACTATAGCGGTGGCCCAGGTCCGAGCTGCCGTGGTGCATGGCGACAACCCTGTAATAGAAAAACCATGTGTAACTGCAACTGGAATTCTATAGCATTTAATGGACCAAATCTATCCAAATCTAAATCTATATTGGTAAAGGGTTAAGCATTGGATGAAGCAAAAGGACTCTATTCAGGGCCGAGCCCCAAACCCTGGATGTTCGACTGCTTCTTGTACAATCCACCATGGACATGAACATGGATCACCGCTCTTTTCAGTCGAGCGGGCTCCGAGGCGCTGAACAATTGCGCACCATGAGTGTCCACAAGCCTACCACAGAACGTGTTTCGAAACAATTCGTGCCAGGACGAACCGAGAGGGCGGGAAGATGCATCCTCCAACTTGATGCACCAATGACTCTAGGACCTCCTTCAGTCGTACATCTCACCAGGATCTCAGCCTGCTGGGCGGATGGTGGCCAAGCTCAAGGTTGGCGGAGCACCGTCCCGGGTGGAGCCAACTTCCAATTTCAGATTTGGGAGGGTAGGCTGGTCATGACAAACAAATCAAACAGCGAGTTTGTCCCATTTCTTCCTTCGATCCGGAAAGGAAGTCTATCCACAAAGCTCCTGGGTTGGAGTCAGCGGTCCCTGTGTGGAGATTGATTGTTTTTTTGGGACGTGAGATCCAGTATAATACCTCGGATCGATTTACGTATCAAAACCTTCTTTGATTGCACAGTTGTGACAGTTGTAGGGCCCAAACAAGTTTTAATGGGGGTCCATACAACTTGCGAAACCCATTTCTTGATCGACTGCAGATTTTGATGGGGACACTGCACCACCTCAAGTACGTCAAATACCTCTCTTTTGGTGTGCTTGTATTTTCATCCGTGGGACGCTCATGGACAAAGGCAATGGCCAGGCCAGATGGATCGGATTCACAAGGATTCTGAGATTTGGGTGCATTTTGCTGCTAGGCGCAGCTTCTGGGTTCACGCAAGGAACGGAGGAACTTCAGAGGTTGCGAACGAACATGCTTGGACAAAGGTGCTCCAAGGAGAGAAACTGAAAAAGGGACCAAATGGTTTTCACACGGGCATGGTATGGCCCCCAAAAAAGAATGACATCCAACCGACCCACAGGGAACTCTAGCAATGATGTCCAAAAACCTGTTGATTGATATCACGAGTGATTTCACAATGATATCGCCTAGGGCATGGAGCCCGCCTCGGGCCCGGGAAACTGATCGCACCAACCCTGTGCATCTCCCGGGGAAACTGAGCGCCACCTTTTTCGCTTTCGGCACGGGACTCGAAGACGCGGGTAGACGTCGATGTGTACACATGACCCACGGCCCAAGCGTGGTGGATCCACAGGGCTAAGAACAAACCACAGAAAAGAACAGCAACGGCCTCAGGCCGTTTTTCTTTTCTTTCCCCGGGTGAACATGGGGGGGCACGCGGGGTGGATGGTAATCCACACGTTGGCGAAACGCTGCGCGACGGCCCAACTCTAGGTGCTGGTGGCTCGGAGGAGGACCGCCCAGCCCCAGGTTGAAGCCCAGGATGGACAGAAACGCCTGGCGCGACAGGAATAGACGTCACGTTTTTGAAGTGTTCGTGTGTCATTGATCGTACACTTTGTTGTTTGTCATTATTGTCTTCATCCCCCCATCCCCTCCTCCTCCTCCTCCTCCTCCTCATCATCATCATCATCACCGTCATCATGTTGGTCATCATTACTATCGCGGTCATCAACGTCGTCGTCATCATTGCGACCGTCATCGCACGCACAGCCTTCGCCCTCTCCTCTTCATCCTTTTCATCGGTGTTGTCACCATCATCTTCGGCAAAAGTAGCGCCCAAAAAACGAAACCGTGATGTATAGACTGGTGTAAACCGATCAAGCGCACCACGCCTGGTTCAACTCCGAGGTCTTTTCCATGGCACCAGGCTTCAAACCGAACCTCAACAGAATCGGCACAAAGGGATGGAACTCTCAAGTCCGCCATGAAAACTCAACAACCGTCATGGGCCTGTTGCAGCTGATCTTCTAGCATTTGCAATTACACTGTTGTTTTTTGACCGGGTGCTTGCCACATCATTTACTGGTATTATGCTAAGTCTGGTCAAACTCAGCAACTGATCATCAAAAATGCGCTGCCGCTTTCGGATATGCACCTGGCAACTGGAATGAACAGAACAAGAAGAACCAGAACCGATTGACAAGGCACAGGATAACTGCGTAGCGTTCTCCTTGGAATGGACAGGTGCAATGGATCCTGCAAGCAGGCCACTGACTGCACCAAAGCAAACCGACTTATTGAAGTGAACTCAACATCTTCAACAAGGACGTGATACGAAGCTGTCAACAATCCTGAAACCGCTCGTTGGTAAAGTTACCAAATGTATTATTGCATGCATCAGCATCGTAAGGTTGCATACATGGGCCGGGCTACTGTAACATGTGTGCAGATGTGCAAAATGTGTCTACAAACCGCCTGGTGGCTGACAAGGATGCTGACACAAAGGGGGTAGGTCGATGTAAAATCCTCATGAAAGGTGCCACCCTACACACCAACCGCAAGTTCAGCCATACCAGCTGCCAGTGCGCATTTCCCTTCTACTTGCTGGTGGCCACGCCACTAAATACTCATGAAATCATTTTGACGCCCTTCATCTCAGCTGCGCGGTCATGATTATCCCGCGGATCCTGTTGCCATCAAACTGCACCAGCGCACGGCGAGGCTGATGCCGATTGCCTCGAAGCACTTCCGGGCTACCCTCCTTCTTCAGGTGTGCCTCAACACATGCGGTTTGGCAGCGGAACCCTCTTGGGACCAAGTCTGTGGGGCTGGCACAAGTCTCAAGCTAGATCTACAAGCTGGTTCCGTGCAGGTTGAAGAGCAGACCACTTTGCATTGGGCATGTGGCATGTTCATCTTCTCAGCCCCAAAGCCGCATCAACTCCCCATCTCACCATCCAACCCTCCCAGCAAATGAAACAAAATGCCAAGCTTCTGGGAAGGCAACTTGCTCCTCTCCATTGGCATCTTCCACCCAAAGGCCGCCACCGGTGTGCTCGCCGAAGGTGGTGCCGTAGCTCTTGCCGCCGTTGTTCTGATCTTGGTGCTCTACCGTCTGCAGGTTTTTGGTCAGCTGCAGGGTGCTGCCATGGATCTTGCCCCACCCATTCTCCTGGAAACCACCACAGGGTGGTGGATTCAACCCATCTGACTTACCATCTCCGAAATCAGACCACAGCTTGGTGGCTAACCAAGTGTGCCACAGTTAGCTGGTAACCTATGTGGACAACGAATTGCATGCACATGATGACATGCAGAGTAGTCAGCTTCAGCTGCTCTATTACAAGTACCATCTGCCCACTTGGGACGGAGAATAGAACATGAATCAAGCAAGCCATCAAATAACCATGCAGATCGGCCAAAAGTATCAAAAAGTCTTGTGTGTGGATGCAAATTCCACTGCATCGGAGCAACTGCATGACTATGCCGGTGGTTGTAGGCTTGATAGTGCACACTCTGCCTCTCTTGATAGTGCACCAATGTAAGGTTCATACCCCCCAACACTGATGATGAGCATTTCTTGAACCAATTGAACCATTAGAATGAGATCGTGGTTAAAGGGTAATCACTGATCACTGAATATTTGGTGCCAGTACAAACACTTGGCTTAGTAGCGATTAAATATGGCGATGCTTCGAGGCAGCTGGTCCTTTGCCAACCGGTTGATGTAGACCAGGAGGATCTTCGTCAGCTGACTCAGGCACCAGGTCTCCTTGGAGATCGTGGGCAAGTTCCTCGTGGGCAGCTTGGCACATGCTTAGCTCTTCCTCGTGGGCGCGTGCCAACCTTCAGAAATCAAACTTCTCAACTCCCTATGATTGGCCCATTCAAAGTGTTGGTGGTGCTTGCTTTCCATAGTGGTTCAGGGTTGCACTCCAGCCAATTGATACGGAAAATGCACATCCATCTAATCCATGTTCGAACGCCCAAATTCATTGGCAAATGGGGGATGTTCCAAACGGAGCCGTTCGATGACTGGAGAGTCTGATCTCTCACGCCATCACCGGCAACCAATGTCAGACGAAGCGAACCTGCGATCCCCGGCTCCGAAGCTCGGTATAACCAGATGTCAACCATTGAGTGGGAATAACTTCGGTCAAAAATGGCGGATGCCCTTTTAGTATATAAGTTACAATTACACCACTAATCCTGTAATACCAACCTGGTTTTTGATAAACCCATGGGTGGCTAACCCCCAATGAATAAGGTTATTATTGATTACTATATCCACATCTGACGGGAAAAATAAGAGCGCTCCCAGCTCATCACAGGTCTTAACACGTCTTAACTCTTAACATTGCTAATCCTTGCCGCTCCCTATCGGATTCCTACCCAGCGTCCTGAAGGCCTGCGCTGTGACCAATCCCAAAATCAGCTGTTTGGAACCTGAGACAGCCATACGTTGGTGATATTTGTGGGGTGTGAACTGGTGTGAATGAATGGTTACTTGATGGTGGAGCTGATGGTTGACTAGCAGCTGGTTCATGGCTACTACTGTATGGGATCGATGAATGATGAACCAGTCAACGTTGCCAGGATTCCCGGCCAATGCAAGTGAAGCATTGAACACACGTTCTGCCCGTGCACACGGCATGGCCGTAGCTCAAACATAGAGCCCCAAATAGGCCACGCTGGTCAGTACTAGTGGGAAACAAGCCAGTGATCAGCAATTCGAGCCATCGCATCTATCCAACATTTATCAATCATCAGTCGCTAACAACCACCAGTCAACCATTATTAAACAGTCATGAGTCATAACCACCAGTTGACTATCACAAATACACATCAATCAACCACTCATCAACTATCAACCAATCATAAATCCTAAAGTAACCCCATCGATCAACCATATGTCAACCATGAAATGATAATCAATCAGCAATTAATGAACCATAAACTAGCCATTAATTAACCACGATTAATTGAAGCTAGTATTGCCGGCGAGGTGCGTGTCTCCCCTTCGGGCAACACATTCAGACGGCGCCCGTCCTTCTGCCAGACTTGGTCCTTGGGATAACCATGACATGATTAATGGATTGATAATGGTTAGGGGTTCATACCAGTATCAATCAATGGTTAGTGGTTCACAAGCGTTAAGAATTGTTATATTGGTTAATCGTTAAATGGTGATTATCATCATAACTTTATCATCATTCAATATTGAGATCTAGTTGGTTGACTAACCAATATAGTAAAGATATGTCCACTTTAGATCATGATCCCACTATATAGATGGCAGGCAATAATCATGATCTATCATTGACCATCAGTCATTGAGATCATGATCTATTGACCATCAATTACATCATTAGCTATCAATTGACCATTAGTTAATGGTTGGCATCATGATCTATAATGGTTGATGTACGGATGGTCATGATCATGATCAATTACAGCCATTAACCATTGTCTACCACATCGTCAAAAACATGATTAACAACCAGGATGAGCAACATAATTAAGAACCAGTATCCACCAGTATCACTGTCATGTACACCTGGTTGAAATGGTTATTACCAAAGGTTAATACATAAGCATGATATGGATCATCTCTTAATTGCCGACCATGATTCAGCCATTATGCACTTATCATTATCATGAGTGATCAACCATCATGATGAATCATCATGGTACGGGATATATCAAACATATGATATACAGTGATTGATCATGGAAAATGATCAAAGACCGTACTGATCATCACTTATTGACAGGTAGTTTCTTGGACTGATCGGAGCTGGTGTATGTAAGTCATGCGCCCGCTGCTGTGCCACTCAAACCCACCTTTGAGGTAACACAAGCTGCACAAGTATCGGCTGGCCATCCAAGCGGAAAGAAGACCATGTCGTAACACCGGCGGCCTCTGGTGAATCTAATCAATGATTCCGACTATGAAGGTGATAATTCAATATATGTCAGGAAAATCTGCCATAAACAACCTTTCTTAAATGACTTAATGATTTATAACTATCACGCATTGGCCGTCATTCACCTGTCCAGCAACCAACCCCTTCGCAACTCTCAACTCAGCGTCTGGAATATTGCGAAGGCGATCCAAGATCTCGTCATAGAGCTCCTCTGTGCCTGGAAAGCACATGACTTGAAACCGGTGATCCACCTGAAACCACGGATGCGGCCTGAAACCACGGATGATTGTGCCACGTTTTTGCTCATTGGGCGGTAAATGATTGTAATCAACATACTGAAAGATATGTCTTTTTGCTTTGGTGGTATCTTTGCCAAACTTAGACGTAACCAAAAAAGTCGAGCAATGTCCAACATGACATAATCGAAGTTGAAACGCTACCATAGTACCAATTCCGCTTTCAGAAGGACGCGGAAGGGTAAGGGATCAAAATAAAAATAAAAATAGAATCAAAAAAAATCAACGGGGATCAATAAAAAAAAAAGGGAATCAAAAAAAAAATATTCTAGCCCACTGAGGATGGTTGGGGTAGTAGTAGTAGTAGTAGCAGTAGCAGCAGCAGCAGCAGCACCAGCGTAGCAGAGCAGCAGCAGCAGCAGCAGCAGGAGGAGGAGGAGGAGTAGTAGTAGTAGTAGTAGTAGTAGTGGTAGCAGTAGCAGTAGTCACGGCGTTCACACGAAGTTAGGCCCTACATGGCGTTGTCAGAGCGCTCAGAGCAGAGAAGTGTTTGGAATGGGTGTAGCAGCATCGGAAGGTGCCTGGATGGGAATCGCCTCAGGAAAAAGATGTGGTGGACCAGTCTATTTCTAATGGGTGCATTGCGGTCGCAGCCGTACAGGGTCTTTTTCACCAAGCTGGTGAGCCATTTTTCGAGTGGGGCTACTCAATGACTGGACGGCTACCTTATCGTTGGGTACCTACTTTCTTCCCAGGGAGCTGCCTCTAGTAGAAAGCAATCAAGCCTCTATTTGCGCAAGCAGGGGACCAGGAGATCGACAGACGAGCGCCGTAGGAGAGCAAAAGACCAGCGGACCAGGAGACAGAAGGACTAGGATACCAGGGGACCAGCGGACCACAGGACCAGAGGACCAGGAGACCGGAGGACTAGGGGACCAGTGGACTAAAGGACCAAGGGACCAGGGGACCAAAGGACCAGTGGACCAGAGGACCAAGGGACCAAAGGACCAAGGGACCACATTACCAGAGGACCCGCAGACCA